TTAGATGAGGGAATTGAATCCATCTTTAGCAAGTTTGCAGATGACACCAAGCTAGGGGGGAGTGTCAATCAGCTGGAATGCAGGAGGGCTCTGCAGAGGGACCTAACACAGGCTAGAGAGTTGGGCTGATTCCAATGGGATGAAGTTCAGCAAGGCCAAGTGCCGGGTCCTGCACTTTGGCCACAACAACCCCCTGCAGCGCTACAGGCTGGGCACAGAGTGGCTGGAGAGCAGCCAGATGGAAAGCCACCTAGGAGTTTGGATTGACAGGAAGCTGAACATGAGCCAGCAGTGTGCGCAGGTGGCCAAGAAGGCCAATGGCATCCTGGCCTGGATCAGGAACAGTGTGGCCAGCAGGAGCAGGGAAGTGATCCTTCCCCTGTACTCAGCGCTGGTGAGGCCACACCTGGAGTGCTGTGTCCAGTTCTGGGCCCCTCAGTTCAGGAAGGATATTGAGGGGCTGGAGCAGGTCCAGAGAAGAGCAACCAGGCTGGGGAAGAAACTCAAGCATAAGTCTGGTGAGGAAAGGCTGAGGGAGCTGGGGTTGTTTAGCCTGGAGAAGAGGAGGCTCAGGGGAGACCTCATCACTCTCTACAACTCCCTGAAAGGAGGTTGTAGCCAGGTGGGAGTTGGTCTCTTTTCCCAGGCAACTATCAGTAAGAGGGCATGGTCTCAAGCTGTGCCAGGGGAGGTTTAGGTTAGATGTTAGGAAGAAATTCTTTACATAGAGGGTAATCAGGCATCAGAATGGGCTGCCCAGGGAAGTGGTGGATTCTCTGTCCCTGGAGGTATTTAGGAAGAGACTGGATGTGGCACTAAGTGCCATAGTCTAGTAACTTCGGTGGTAGTGGATTGAGGGTTGGACTTGATGATCTCAGAGGTTCTTTCCAACCCATATGAATCTCTGATTCTATGACTTTTGCACCAGAGTTGAAGGAAAAGTATTAGATCATAGTTCACACCCTACAGATGGAATGAACCATCTTCTGCTGAAGAACATCACAGATATTAAAAAGATGACACGTCATCATCTGATATCCATCCCTAAAAGCTACCAATTACACAAAACACACCCTGAAATAATTTCAGTGTATCTGTTGAAAATGTCACTGGAAATTCTGCATGGAAAGAGACAGTTATATTTCTAACTGTTTATAGCAGGTCTGTCACAGCATTATTACTTAAAAACTTGCACACACAAAAATAATCTTGAAATGTCATTTTGTTTTTATTTTCCATTTAGAATAAATTATACTTAAAGACAGGTCTTCACATGTTTTAAGGGCACTTCTTCAGAAAAAGAATATAATTTAGTATATTCATCTGTCAACCCATTCAACCAGGAATAAAATAAACAGAGAATTTGCCTCCCAGGCAAGGCAATTAAGTCTGCTTTGTATTTTTAAATAAAATAGAAATCAAAAAAGTTAAAAAGTTGGCCTTCAAGGAGAAAGCATACATAGACTGATTACTTCGAAATTTCTCTGTGATCTGACCAAACCAATTTCTCACTAGTACATCCAATGTGACAACAGCAAACCTTTCAAGAAGAGCGTAAGTCTCTCTGAATTTTTTCAGTACGGGTTCAGAAAAGAGCACAAGATGATGTACCAGAAAAGGCTATGCTGATGTCAGGAGATCCCGAGATTGCTCTCTCCCAAAATTCATAGATTCATAGAATAGTTTAGGTTGGAAGGGACCTCAAAGATCATCTTGTTCCAATCACCTCTGCCAAGGGCAAGGACACCTTCTAAGGGCAGGGACACCTTCCACTTGACCAAGTTGCTCAAAGCCCCACCTGGCCTTGAACACTTCCAAGGGTGGGACATCCACAACTTCCCTGGGGAACATGTTCCAGTGCCTCACTACCCTCTCAGTAAAGAATTTCTTCCTAATATCTGATCTAAAGCCACTCTCTTTCAATTTAAAGCCATTCCCCCTTTTTCTACCATTATGTGCCCTTGTACAAGACTCTCTTCAGCTCTCCCGTACCTTTAAGTATTGAGAGGCGTCAATAATGATTCCTCTCTCTAAAATATTTTTTTTAGCAAGTTACAATTGCTAGTACAAATTTAATCTGCAAAACTGCAGTATTCCCAGGCCATAGAATTAAAAATCTCATAAATTCTCTCAAGCCAAAGGTGGCCTTATATGCTTCAGTACAGAGTATTATCTCACGAGTTCCAACTAGCCCAAGACACAGGACAATGATAAAGCATTAGAAAAGAAAAATGTTTGTAAACTCTAGGAAAGGACAGAACCTTTCCTTAAAGTGCGAGAACAAGAATGAACTGAAGAGATAGAAAAGTAATGACTGGGAAAAGCTCACATAAATGCCATTTTGAAGTTCAAAGGCTACTGCTTTTCATGGCATTTCATAGATGTTCAGTCACTAAGGATTACCTTAAACAATTACAACCATGACAAACCATTTCAAGACCTTCACTGACCAGTGTACCATAAGATACAGCTATCATCAAACCCAGTTGAGTGAGCTTTTCAGTCAGAGCTGGTTGACTATCCTTAGATCTACATTCTTCCTACATAATGTGAAAAGGAGTTGAGGAGGAGAGGAAATCACGGGACTTGCCCCAAACAGGAAAACTTACTTTCATGTCATGGGTCAGAAGTTATCTGGGACCTCAACTGTCACTGCAGTCCCACAATATGCAGAATTAAATCTGTATTTTCCTCCAGCATGTCCTTGCCATCAGCCTGGCTCTTTAGGGATGGGTGTCCCCTTTCCTCATATAGTGTATTTGGAGCAATGCCTTTGCCCAGAGAGAGGGTCTTGTTGATCATAGAATCATAGAATAGATTGGGTTGGAAAAGACCTCCAAGATCATCAAGTCCAACCCCTGATTCAACTCCAATTACTATATCATGGCACTAAGGGCCACATCCAATCTTTTTTTAAAAACCTCCAGGGATGGTGAATCTACCACCTCTCTGGGTAGGCCGTTCCAATGCCTGATTACCCTCTCTGTAAAAAATTTCTTCCTAACATCTAACCTAAACCTCCCCTGGCAGAGTTTGAGCCCATGTCCCCTTGTCCTATTGTTGGTTGCCTGGGAGAAGAGACCAACCCCCACCTGGCTATAACCTCCCTTCAGGTAGTTGTAGAGAGTGATGAGGTCACCTCTGAGCCTTCTCTTCCCCAGCCTAAACAACCCCAGCTCCCTCAGCCTCTCCTCACAGGACTTGTGCTCAAGTCCCTTCACCAGCCTCGTTGCTCTTCTCTGGACCCGCTCCAGCACCTCAATGTCCTTCCTGAACTGAGGGGCCCAGAGCTGAACACAATACTCAAGGTGTGGCCTCACCAGTGCTGAGTACAGGGGAAGGATCACTTCCCTGCTCCTGCTGGCCACACTATTCCTGATGCAGGCCAGGATGCCATTGGCCTTCTTGGCCACCTGCGCACACTGCTGGCTCATGATCTGCTACATGCTCCAAGTAGTTAATTTATTCCTTTGTTGTTACTTGTTTTTTAATTTCTTTACTGTAGGACACCATTTGAGCAAGGAATGGAAATCAATTTATTGTATACAAAGACTGAGCATGAAGAGAAAATTACCTTTTGGAATGGGTTTGGGGCAGAGATGCCTCACTTTTAAGGTCTCCCTGAATTTCAGACATGAAAAGTGGGTGGCTCAGCCCTTGCCGGCTGTGGTGGCTGGAATGCTTGAAAAGAGAGGCCAAGCACATCAGTGATTTGCACTGCCCACAACTACAGTATGAGCCTGGCAACACTGCTAGAGAGGGCCCAGGACACGAGCTGTCCAAAAGCAGGGTTAGTTAAAGCTGCTCCTCCACAGACAAAGACTCCACAGCCATGCTGGCAATCAGTTCCAGTGCTTTGACCACTCACTCAATATAAAAACTTTTCTTCTGTTTTTGTGGAATTGCCTGCATTTCAGTGTGTGTCCATGGCCTCGTGCTCTGTGCTACTGGGCACTGTCGAGAATAGGCTGGGTCCATCTTCTTTACTCTCCCACCAGATAGTTAAAGACATGGACAGGAAGCCTCTGAGACAATAACAGTGCTGCATTGCTCACCCTTGCAAGCTGAAATTACTCTACACTCAGCAGCTCAGACTTAGAGATGCTTGATTTTTGAGACAGGTCCATAACTTCAGTCACCATCAGTGTCTCCATTCAGACAAGTTAGGAATATTGGGAAAGAAGAGTAGGATATGCCCTATAAATTTCATAGATAAATTGGTGTTTGAAACGAAATAGTTTATCTTATTCACATGGCACATCTTATAAAATCACTTGATACAAGAATAGAAGACACCTAAAATTTTATTGCCTTGTCAGATGTAAGAATTTATTTATGTGATTTACCAAATGTTTAAATTTACACCAAAAGACAATACTTCAACTTCATGTCAAATTGTTCATCAGTAAGCTCTACATCAGAATATTCTTGAGACTTCCAAGGACAATTTTTACTAGACAGCTTAGAACAGCAGAATTTCATAAATAATGGCCAACTTCACAAGCCTGAGGGTCACTACCTCATCGTTATTTCTTTGCTGAGCATAACCCACAAAACAGAGGAAGTCTTAAAGCCATTTTAATCCCCAAACACTACCACTACTGCACTCAGAGCATTTAAATCACATTGCCCTGCATTAATAACACCAAACATTATCACTAGTCAAAAATTTATCACATCTTCCCCTAACAAAATGACTTCTTTTTTTTTTAAACATTACAAGAAAAACTTGTACTCAGAACATCAAAGCAACTGCAAAATACACAATCATCCATTTGGCTTGGTTTTACAATAAAAATAATATCAGTAATCTATTTGTTGACTTCATCTCTTTTGTTGTGCTCCTTTTCCCTCCATTCTCACTTAGGAAACTACATTAGACCAGGCAGTTAAGTTGTAGCACTGAGGTAGCATATTTCAACTGAGCAGAATAATAGATCTGCTACTGTGCCTCCTCTCCTTTAAAGCACACACAAACACACACAAAACTTAAAAAAAAAAAAAAAAATCCCCACAGTTTTTCAACTTCTTTGGAGAGGACAGGCCTATAGCTCATTTGCAACAGCCACTGCATTTTGAATTCAAACCACAAAGAGTCTCTGAATGGTAGATACACGTAAAATGAATGAGAAAATATACAAAGAATTATGTCAGTTTTATTAGAACTAGGGTTACATTTTAGCTCTATGGCACCTATTGTTCCCTATTAGAAAATGCATCTCTACAGTCCTCGAATTTTAATTTCAAAGACCAGGAACCTGAAAAAGGGCAGCTGTGCCCCTGTTCTTCTAAATGATTTTCACACCATCTGCACAAAGGGCCACATAATTGCAACAAAACCATAAGAAATCAAACTGACCTAATATGAAGTCAATAAGAATTAACATGAGTATACTAAAAAGATCAAAGTTAAGGCAAAAGATATAACCTGAATGAACCGAAGCTTTATGCCTGAATGAACTGAGAGCACTTTCTGTTTATGTATAAGTTAAAGCTGGGATAGCCTAACAAATAATTAAAAAAAAAATATCACTGAAAGAGCAGAAACTTAGTTTCCTAACAAATTGTGAATAACAGTATCTCAGCTTTGCCCTTCTAGCTACAAGCTTTAAGAGACTAAGCTGAAGCCAAGCTGTACTCCAGACTGCAGCCTTAACATCTAGACTACTTACTACAGTAACTTTCACAGACACCTGTGTATTCAGGGGGAATAATAAACAACGATCCTAAAGAACAGTAGTAATTTCCTGTTCTGCGTGCCATGCTGGTACACATAGCCCTGTAAAACTGTGTTGCATGGTACACAACCCTCACCCAGCCCCAGGCTGGATGTTTAAATTCTCCCCTCCATCTCTCACACAGGAAAGCAAGAATTTTACTGCAGTTAAAACCCCTTGAATCAGCTACATGCATAAGGGAAATTGGGTTTTAACACCCTAGAAAGCAGACTGAGAATGTAACTAAGCTGACTTCTAAATAAATGCCCAAAACCCCACCTAAACAGCTGAGGGAAAATGTGTAAATTATAATGACCAATTCAAGCTGCTTATGGAAGCGTTAACGTAAATTATTCAAGTAACCCAAGATGCACTCCAACACCTGTTATTAAAAATTTAAGGCTTTTATGAACACTGTCTTACATACAAAAGAAGTAATAAACAGAAGGAACTTGTTTACAGTAAATACAAACATCTGAAAAATCTCTGAAACCTGTTTATACAAATACTAATAAATTCTTTAATATTTTATACAACTAGAAGGTGCACAGATTGGCATTCAAGCAGTCAATGCTGGCAAACATCTGTCAGACAATAACATGATTTACGTGGATAACAATATAGTTCAAAATGCCATAAATTAAAAAATAAGTTAGTTCACATTTTTTTCCCCAGCTTTTATGTACATCTTAAGTCTTTAATGAGATCTTGTAGCCTTCTTCAGAAGCTCGAGGTCTTTCCGTCGGCTTTTGATTGCTCTGGCACAGCCATATTCTTCCAGTTGTAAAGGGATATACTTTTCTATCTGAACGAGCCCATGCCCAGCAGGACCAGTAAACAGCTTAATCCAGGATGGCTTAAAGTTTCCTCTGAAGCCCAGGAAGGCCAGGCTTCCTGTGACAAAAACAGCTCAGCATTACTAAACCTGCCAAGCTCATTGAAGCACATTAAATGACGGCTTAGGAAGAAAAGGGCATGCTTTTTCAAAATTCTCTCCCCCACATTATTCAGAACGTTAATCCACTCTCAGCTACACTTGTACCTCACAAAGAAATATTGATTTGCAATTTCCTTTTTCAATATTCAGTATGAAATACTCTGAAATCTTAATTTGAAAACACAGCTAATTGGACAGTTATAAACCTGCTTTCTGAACCACAACTTGTGCCAAGACTCTGAACGGACAAGAGCTACCCCATGTGGCTTACGGAGTGATCATCCCTCAAAGTGCCAAGAGCTTCTTATTTCTAGCTTCAAATTTTGTTAGAACAGGAAATACTAGCCAGGTAAAGGAGATTGCTTAAAAATAGATTTAGTGGGTGAGGCACAAAATACAGGCTTCACAAAAAAGAGCCCAGAAATCTTTCTGTATAATCCACAGGCACAAAGAACTGCTAGTCATTTCTCTGTTTCTGCTTCACACAATGCCCGTTAGAGCAAGGGGAAGGTTTTTCTCCCCCATTGACAAGATGTTTCTCCCCTCCCAACAAGAGCTGACATGCAGCAGCCCACACCAGTGAAAACTGGCAACCACTCACTGCCAGCTGCATCCTTTTCACACACCCCATGAGAAACCCACCACGCCAACATAAACACACAGTCTAAGGTGGTGTCAAAGAAAACGTGCAAAATTTCCACCAACCGTTGCTCTGAAGATAAGGTGGTTTCGCTGTCCCCAGGGACATTAAGGCTTCTGCTAAATTATTAGGAATTTCTAAATCACCTCTTGTGCTCAATAGAACGATAGACCTGCAGCAGGAACAGTGCAGAGACAGCAGCCATTATAAACACAACATTTTTTTAATATTCTGCTACATGCCTTTACAACTAGCTGCCCTCATAGTCCACTTCTTTAAGAGTACTCATGACATGGAAACAGTCAACCCTTTCTCAAAGCAGTACTAAAGTTTTAAAATTTTAAACTTTAAAATGAAACTTCAAAATCACTGTAAAGTGATATTTAAACATAGTTTAATATTTTGTTTCAAAAAAATAAGTTTAGATATTGATCCCTAATTAGCATATTAGCATGGTAATTTTTTTTCTGTCACTAACTCCTTATCTTTCTTTAATGATAAGCAATTTTCTCCCTGTGGGGAGAGAACAATATGATATTTTTCCCACAGTCCTTGACGGTGCCTTTAATAAACAAGAAGTTACTGTTTTATGCAAAGTGTTATTGCACAATGTTTAGTTAAGAAAAAATGGTGAAAGACAGGCAACACCAGAAAATAAAAAATGTTCAAAATTTGCTTAATTTTCTTAAAAAAGGCTAAACTGTCTGTTAAAATGCACCTGTGTTTGTCCTTTGCCCTCAACCTAGATATCTGTTTTGCTCACTTTCAGTGCTCCTGTATAGACACTATTATTTAAATCCTCATCAGAGAGCAGAGTTACAGCCTACTAGACATATTGGAAATAAATGGTTATTATGCATACCTTTGTGGAATTCCAGATTTTAAATATCCACCTACATGCTTAATGTCTATTCCAGAAAACAATTTGTTTCCCAACACTGTGCCAGTGCACGCATCTATTATAACAGTAAGTATACCGTTATCCTTGAAGGAAAACATGGTGTCATTGACCTGAATGGGAGGAAAAAGAGAGAAAAAACCCTTTTTCTTCCTTTCTTAAAGTTAATATGAATCAAAGAACAATTCTACTACATTCAGGGTTAATCTTATTCTAGTTTAGACACAGTGGTATACTAATTTCCTTACAAATACTTGCTTTTCCCTAACATTTCTTCAATTTTCTCCTCGAGAGGACGCTGCCAGTGCACTTCTGAAATTGCACAGGAGCCTTAAGTCCCTACAGGCATCTACAGAGATATTGCACACTTTGGGTGACTTGATACCTGCCTCCATCATTGCTCCTGCTTCAGGAAGACAAAATTCAGATTCTGAACCACTTGGACTTCTGGACAACAGTACAGTTAATTGGTTCCTTCAACAGCCCAATTGCTAGTGAGTGCTCTTACTGCTTTGGATGGGGACACACATTCCTCTAGAAGTTTACAGCTGCCAAGGTTATGCTACTCGCATGACATTTGTCTGCCTGGATAATTCAACCAAGCCAACACACTGACATTCAAAGAACGAAAGGCACATTCAGACAAAGCTCTGTGGCCTAAGGGTGTCCGCAAAGGCTATTTCAGCATCACGTGCAAGCCTCCTTCAGTATGTGAATGGAGAAGCCAAACTAAACTACTTTTTATACAGTATTACATTCACTAGGCTTATTAGGGCCACATCAGAACAAATACAGAAACCTTACAGATTCTTTAGTAATTGCCATTTTGAGGACTTTAGCAAACCTTAGTGGCTTCCATGACCCATCCCATTAACTCTCTAATCTGTTAGCACAAGGACAATTTCAACACCATGGATTAAACAAACAGGTTGTTAGTTTTTGTATTTTGTGTATTTCCAAAACCAGCCATAAACGTATACCCACACAGACTTAAATATGAAATGGAACATTTTAAACTCTTACTTAATAGAACATTTTTCTCTCCCGAAAGAAAGGATTCAAATACAAAATGGAGCTTTGAAGCCTTGCTTTCTGAGGTAAAACATCAACTTTTTGACTGTTTGGTTTTTAAACAATGAACCAATCTTTTCATTCAAGTGAAGAAAACTGAGATAAGCATTATGTAGAGCTGTACATCTGTTATAATACAAACTGCTAAAATGATATTTAAGAAAACCATAAAAAATACTTACAGATATAAATGCTTGCTGACCCTTGCTTGACTCTTTTGCATCACATGAATTAATCTGCACAAGGAGGTAGTTTTTATGAGGATCACTGGTGAATACCATCTAGAAATCAAACAAAACAGTTAATTGCATATATATTGATGTGTCTTCAACATTTTATCATGTCAGTTTACAACAGATAGCCCATGCTCCAAAGCAAAAGCATCCATATGTCAGTGTCATTACTTACGGATTTATGGTACTAGTAATCCAATTTCAAGTTCATGCTAATAAGTAGAGATCCAAAAATAGAGAAGAGAAGGTTGGTCATAGATCTTTGCAGCAAACCTACTCTACATCCTACATGGAGCACAGACAATACTGAAATGCAAGACATCAGATCTAACTATGCTCCCTCTGTAGCACTGTGTGAGAGGTGAACAAAAGACAAAACTCCCCACCTTCTGGTATACAGAGATTAACAGTGTGCCAGCGCAAACTGGTAAATTCAGTACTCTGTGATGAAAGACTGAAATTTGGACTAAAAGTGAGTAGAGAGCATCACCAATTCTACAGTTCATGAAAACCTTTGCTTATTTTATTTTACCTGAGTTGTGCCACATTTTGTACATGGTACAGTAGTTTTTGATGGCATCTGCTTTATGACAGTTGGTCCTTGGTAGTACTTTGGGTAAGCTTTTGCCATGCAGTTACTTCTCCCTTTTGCTGAATCTTTGGTCACAATCTTGATCCTTTCACATCCCTGAGATGAGCAATAACTGTGACCATCCCTATTATATTTGGCTTGAAGAAATAAAAACAGTAATCTACACAAAAAGGGGAAAAATAATCTTAATTAACTGGTGGAAATAAGAGTATTTATATTAAACTTTAATAGCTATATTTCATGATTTTTCAGAAACAGAGAAACTACTATATTCACTTCTGCATTGCTATCCAAATATTTTCAAAGTATTTATAATTTGCTAGAGTTAGGAAGTCTCCAGTGATGTATCTGAATTTTCCCACAATTAAAGGAGACAATGATATAAATGCAGATGCTTTGCAAAGAAGCAAAGTCCTCAAATCAGTGGCTTGAAGGATACAAAAACCAAATTGCAGAGCATAAATATTTTCTTTCAGATCTTTCCAGACATGCACCAGCACTGGACAACGAAACTGTGCCACTGCAAATGTCTAGAAATGCAATTTAGGGCATAATAGTCCATTATGTTCACAGTACACAGAGACTGGCAGTTCTTTTATTATGTATTCAACTTATCACTGCAGCTCTTAGACAAGAACATAAATGTCTTTTCAAAAAATACATTCATCTGCATATGTACTACACATACAGTCGCAGACAAGAACAGAATAAATGAGAGAACAAATTGAAAGTTTAAGATCGTTGTTTGCAAAGCACACAAGTGATGTACACAGGACTGCATTTATTGAAAGGTGACCATATCTTAAAACCTCTCAGAAGGATCTCAGTGGCCACTGTCAGAAGTACTTTTGAAAAAGAGACTAGATTTTTTATGTACTTTTGAGACAGCTGGAAACAGATTAGGATTTTCAGAAATACAGTTTTTAAATGTTCTTGGAAGAGAAAGCTTCTTAGAAATTTCTAGAATGTTCAGTTTAACAAAAAGGTACAAATCTTCGAGACTAAGGAATTATCTCCTGAAAGGCACTGCTCTGCAGCACACCAGATACCACATTTTCCCCAGACATGGGGTAGGAAATATCACTGGCAACTGCAGTTCTTTTGAAAAGTATTTCAGTGACAACCACTGCAGTTAGGAGATGTAAAGACATAAGAAGAGAAATACTCTTTCAAAGAGGCTTTAGGCTCCATCACTACAGCTTTGCTCTTATGCAGGTGTCTCAATCAGTTGCTTTCAACACTATCTAACTGGACATTTTAAGGTTAAACAACTTCTTCTAGTAGGGTCAGGTTGCAAGGAGTTACCCAGTACTGTTGTCAAAGTAAAACTTCTTGTCTGATCGATTCTTTTCAAGCTCCATCATCGAAGAGACAGGCAGGTAGCGCTCTACCTTGCTTGACAGAGCAGATGACCGCCTCTGAAAGGTTTCCAAAACTATAACAAAATCTGTATTTGGTTGGTAACAAAGACCAACACGAATCCAGTCATTCCTAAAAACAAAATAAAATGTATGAATTGTTGTAGGAACAATTTAGATGTCAGTACAGAGCAAACAGATCATTTCAAAAATAAGCAACAGGAACACCAAAGTTCCCAAACCCTCAACCAGAAGATCTTTCTTCCCCTCTCTACATAAAGTCTTCACTGTCCCTGGAGGTTTATAAGAAGAGACTGGATGTGGCACTTGGTGCTACGGTCTAGTAATTGCAATGCAAGTGGATCAAGAGTTGGACTTGATGATCTCAGAGGTCTTTTCCAACCCAGCTGATTCTATGATTCTATGATTCTTCCTTCCATGCACAATCTTTCACTAAATGTTACAGTAACTCCGATTCTCTCAGAATCTTTTTTTTTATACTTTATAGACATTTAATAAGTTTATCTGACAACAAAATCAAGTATGATAAACTATTCAACTCCAATTCTGCTCAACTTCGCTATTTGTAAATTTTCTTCTCTAAAGGTTTTTTCTTAAAGACAGTGCACTGGACAAATATTTAACTTCAGGTGCAGGTCTACTGCTTATTCTCTTGGTTTGCATACTTTGTAATTGTAATTAAGTAAAAAAACACAATCCCAGCTTCAGTCTTCTGCATGGTTGCAAACTCTCACACACAATAATTGTCCCTTTTTGAGCACACACATGAAAAACGTGAACATACTTGTTGAAGTTAATGAGATATAGATAGGTGACGTTTGGAGATTTTCCATTCCAATGTATTGTATAGCCCTTCTGGAGCATCACTACTGGCTGATATTGCTGAAAGGCAGCTCTCTGATTAATACCTCGAAGAACCATGGGATTGGCTGGGTACTCATCTCGGATGATAGTCATGGAAAGATTCTGTCCATTCCAGGTCTGGACATAAACCTATATGATAATAAAGAGGATGAAAAGAAAGTGGAAGATTTGGACAGTGTGCAGAAGGAAATGAAATAGTGAAGCACAATCAGTACATTATTGAACAAAATGCTGCAAGTTGATATTCTGAGTAATGTAATACATAAATATCTCCTGAATAAAAGTACTATTTGAAAAGCTATTGTAGATTTTGCCCATTTGACAGATGAAAAAGGGGAGGGAGGAGAAAAAAAGAAAAATAAAAAAAGAACCAGCGATGATACTTGAGAACATAGACCAGAAACCAGAATGGGAATCAAATCTGTGAGGCTTGTATTCAGAAGATGGTATTTAACATCTCTAGAAAACAAACCAAACAAATAAACCCTTAAAATCCACTCTGTGAAAAAAAAAAAGCAGACAGAATCCAAGTAGAAGACAACACCTCCAATGTAAAAATGTTTTAGCATTGTGATGGTTCAGACTTGGCTCCCTGCCAAATGCCCAACCCCCCAGTAGCAGGCCCTCTATTCCCCTCTTTCTACTTCCCCCAGGGCAAAGGAAAAAAAACTATGCAAATTGGGGAACTCAAAAATCAAGCTAGTTATATAAAAAATATATTTTATGTATATTACAGTTAAGATGCTATGTACACAGCAAATGGGAATCCAAACACTCCCCAAAGGGATAGGGAAAGGGGAAAAAAGGCACAAAAGGAAACAAAAAGGGACACCGAATAGATATGCGCAATCAAACCCGAGAACTAGTAAAACAACTAGTAAAACAAATCTCACCACGTCCCTTAGAAAGCAGGCTTGGCAGACACTGCCAGCACTCTCCAAGCCTCCACGTGGCAGGTTAGTGGATGCTGCAGACCTCAGCCTTAGATAAGCGAGACCAATGCAGGGACCCACTGTTCCCGAACTTCGGCGGAAGAAAAGAGAACGAAGGCCGCTCCTCCCCTCTTATTTATACCACGATTTATGTAAAAATTGCATGGAATACTGGGAACACTGCCCCTTCCTTGGTTACAAACTGGTAACCAGGGAAGGCCTAGATTAAAACCACCACAAGCATATAGGGCTGCAACATATAGGTCTTGGCAAGCATCCACATTTACTTTTAACTTGCAGCATCCAACAATGTACTCCCAGTCTATCTGTTGAAAGGAACATGACATAATACACAGCTGGCCGAAAAGTGTAATATACATAAAAGAACTTTAAAAGTAAAAACGTTTTGAAATCTAAAGAGATGTAATTTCATATTTCTTGTACTACTTTTGACCCTGCAAGTAGTTCATACTGTAGATTTGCCCCAAACAGAAAGCCAAGAGTACTAGCCTGTGCATAGTTCCCACTGCAAACTACTCCATTCCATTCTGTAACATTAATGCATTTGGGATGTTGAATCAAGTAATTATCCATTCTGCCCACATAGGTATCCTTGTAGTCAGTCACTGAACCATCTAGATCATGAAATATTGAGTTCTTGTCACCATCCAGATCTCCTTCTTCAAACCAGGGACCAGGTTTTCCAAAGAAGGCTTTCAAAGAAACCTGAAAACAACAATTAAAAATTTAGGTTTTTTTCCCACAGGTGAAGCAAAGACTACCACTTACACATCTGCAGAAATACAGAAATTTGACAGTTGATTAAAAAGCTTATGGCAAAGACAGTGGAATCTTGCAAGCCAGACACACTGTTTTTAGTAATGGGCTTAGGCCAGCTCTTGTTTCTGAACAGCGTTAATATTTGCAACTGAAAATTCATTACTAAGGATATACATAACCTTACAAAATGTTACTAAATCTCCCTTTCAGCTTTACCAGAAAGCCATGAATCACTTATTGTAATGTGTCCTACCTCTGTTTGTATTGGGTTTTTTTTGCTCAGGAAACAAAGGACACACCTTGGGTGACTGCCAACCAAGAGAGACAGTGTAGAGCAGGGATGAATGGAAAAGATGACCTAGGGCCCTTGTCTGCTTCTTTTAAATATAAGAAAACTATCTATAATACTAAAGGAAAACTTGTAATAAACTTACGTTTGGATCAAACTTCACAAGAGAAATATTATTTTTTGGTGTCATCTGCCATGGATTTTTCATCAAGAATCCAACTGCACTGGTAAATCTGTCTGGAGTTGGCACAAAGTTTTTGAATGTGCACTTGGTAAGGTGAATAGGTCCATCATAAATTTGAAAGCCTCTGATTGGAAATGTCCTGTAGATGCAAGCAAATATTTATACCATCCTGTAACAAAAACCATGATATGCCTGAATCTGTGTCATAAATACATTTCCTTCAGAGGAATCAAGAAAGTATATTAATACAATGACTCACAAGACAGATCTTAGTAAAGGAAATATGGTTTCTGCACGTCTCTAATGAATCAAAAAATCCCCCACTCTTAAATTTTCCTGTTAGAAGAGCTATCACTGTCCACTGGCAAATGTGCCCCTTTTCCAATACAAAAAATATAGCAGGAAAAAAATATCAATTGGTCTTTGACTGATCATGGCAACTGGGAGAAGTGACTGTAGACTGGAGGAAAGCAAATGTCACTTCTACCTAGAAGAAGGAACACTTAGAGAATAGCAGGCTGGATAACCTCAGCTTGATCCCCATAAAGATGATGGAGCAGCTAATCCTGGAAACCATCTTCAGGCATCAGGAGTAATCAGCATGGGTTCACCAAGAAGTCATGCCTGACCGACTTGAAAATTTCTGTGATGAAATTACTGGCCTGGTAGCTGTGGGTAGAGCAGTGTACAAGGTCTACCAAAACTGCAGTAAGACTTTTGACATATCAAAGATCCCATAAGATCCTCATGAAGTACAGGCAGTATGAGAGGACAGCTAAATGGACTGAAAACCAGCTGAATGTCTGGGCCCAGAATGTGATGGCACAAAGACTACTTGGAAGTGTACCGCTGGTGTAACCCAGAGGTTAGTACTCAATCTAGTGTTGTTCAGCATCTTCATTAGTGATCTAGATGATTAGTCTAAGTATAGTCTCAAGCAAGTTTGCACAGGGCACAAAACTGAGGGAAGCAGCTCATACACCAGAGGGTTGTGTTACTATCCAGACAGACGCTGACAGGTGGAAAAATGGGTAGATGGAAACGTCATGAAGTCCAACACAGGGAAGCACAAAGTCCCACACTTTGGGAGTAACACCTTTTGTGCCAGTGAAAACCAAGCTGACCATAAGCCAAACAACATACCCTTGCCACAGAGTGGCAAAAGGTATGCTGGGCTGCACTGGATTACCAACAAACTGGGGGTAGTAATGCTTCCCATCTATTCAGCACTGGTGAAGCAACACCTACAGTGCTTGTTCCCAGTACAAAACAGATACGGAGATACTGGAGAGTCCAACAAAGGATCACAAAGATAAGTCCCTAGAGTATCTCCAAAAGGAGGAAACACTGGGAGACGTCACACTGTTCAACCTGGAGCAGAGAAGCCTTAGGCAGGAATCTCAAAGTGTAATATCATCTGAAGGGAGAGTGCAAAGAAGATGGAGTCAGGCTCCTCACTGTGACAGGACCAAAGGCAAAGGGTACAGTATGAGAAACAGGAGTTTCCTCCTAAACACCAAGAGAAACTCTCACTGTGAGTTTGACTGAGCACAGGTACAAGTTGCCCAAGGAAGCCGTGGAGAATCCATCCTTGGAGGTGCCCTAAAGCCACCTGAACATGGCCCTGGAACACCAACTCTAGGTGGCACAAGGAGTTGGACAAGATGACTTTCAACCTCAAATGTTCTGTGATTCCCCTCAGCTAGACTGAATGCCTCAACTATCAGTGCCACATTAACTTATTTCTTTTAAATGGCCAAGTAGCAAAAAACCAGGGTAGCCTAAACTTAACTCACCTTTTGTCCTGGTTTTGACCAGAGGGCATGGAGCCTGGATCTGTGTGGGTGTGGCAAAGACACTGTGCTATTCACTACCATCTTTCATCATGGGAGGGGAGCAAGGGAAAGGGACTCTCCCTTGCTACCCTTTTTCCAGGGAACAGAGCAGTGACATAATGGAGCAGGGGCATAACACTGGTCCTCACCAGAAAGTTTGTCCACCACTGTTTTTCATTGTCTTAGGCTTGAGGGAAAGGCATAGTGATGGATGGTCTGTCAGCAATTTTGTTCTTTGTCTTGGGAGTTCCATGGCTATGGATCAGGTCAGTCAGTGACCACTTTTTTTTTCTTCATGTAAATCACCCTCTTTTTGTATACTTTAGTTATTAATATTGCTGCTGTTACTGTTCTTTTTCTTATCTCATTTCCTTTCCAGTAAATTGTTCTTATCTCAATTCAAGATCTCTGCCTTATGTTTCTCTCACCTGAGGGGGTGAGAGAGTGGGAGCAGCCTTGTGGGCCTAATTTCCAGCTGGACTTAAACACCAACAGTCTCCTTTCCTATTCTGTGCCAAGGACTTGACCCTACACTAAACAAGCCTCAGAGCAAGTCAATGAGGAAAAAAAAAAAAGGATCATAGTCACAGATTGTGATTTGTTACAGACAGATTTCAGTCTCTAGCCCCAAACTGACCTTTGAAATTCTTTTACCTGAAGGCTTTTTTCTTTCTCTCTTCCAGACTCAGAAGTTTTTTAAGAAGTGTCATTTAAGTACAATAACTTAACTTGCTATAGGAAAGTGACTTGCAGTAGCATCAGATGAAACTGCCTCAGCAAAGAGGTGAGTGACATGGTTGCACACAAAGCATTACAAAAAAGAAACCATCACCTTCAATGGAGTCTTAATCTCTCACAGCTCAAGCAGGAAGTGTTTACATTTGATATAGAGAATATTTCTTGTATTTCTACTTCCTTCACTCACGACATACTTACCGATTTCTAGGCAGAGTGCGTGTCTTGTTGTCTATTCCTCCAGTTCCTGCATATTTATTCTGGCCACCTTGAAACCCGTAATTCTTGCTCTCACCTATGAACAGTGACTCTGATACCTCCTGGCTGGCACCTTCATCATTCGGGAAGCTCCCATCACTATCAAAGCAACAACAGAGGTGAGTCTTCAGCCAAGACTCTCCAGCAGATAAATACACCAAGGCATAGCCCTCCTTTTATTTCTGTAACAACCCTACTGGACTTAATTATTAAATCTGTGTATTATAAACAAACACAAGAGAGCTGAACATTAAAAATTCTAACTCCCTTTTTAATGCAGCACTCTTTCTTTGGCAATCCTAGAACCAGTTTGTCATAACCTAAATGGCAGCAATTTTGGTTTACTACCTAAGTTACTTGGCTTTTTTTCATTAGAAAGAGACTCTACTCCCTCTAAATGCTCATCCCCTTTCTTTTCCATTATTCACTTTCAGTTGTTCAGAAGGTAAATAAAAAAACTGCCTGAGGAATCATACAAAACCAAGAACACCAGCATAAACGTAGCACTTCTGGTGAAGAGGCAGCCAACCATGATGTAAATCAAATACAGGTTAAATAAAGTGCAAGCTTTGGCAGCTGTGCCGGTTTACAACCTCTGTAACTTCATCTGTACCACTGGAAATAGAACCAGGCCCAGAAATGAAACTACAGCCTTATGAAAGTATACCCATTAATTTTAATAAATGTGTGTAGATTTTCCAAGGTTCCATGCAAGAAAACACAGAAACAAAGTACTCACCTAGCAAATGTCAAACCTATTCCATTGTCAGCAAACCTAAAATGAAGTTCAAAACATCAAGGTTTTTCTCTGGATTACCCTACAATGGCTATTGTAAGAGCATATCCTGCTATGCACTGTAGAAAAGCCTGAATTTTTCTCTTAATGGAACTTAGAACCACCACACACCTAACGCTTCTAAAAGTGTTGCTGTTAAAAACTAATCAAAGAATTTTCTACACATTTTAAGCAGGATATGAGAGCTTCAGGAAAATCATGAATACCTCAGTCTAAATTCACTGTCTCTGTAGTTTCTAGAATTCTCTTTATGACAAGATTTCTTTTTTTTTTGCAGCTTAAGGCAGGTTCTCATCTAATCACATATAAATTTATATACTTCAAGTATGGTGTGAAAGCTGGTGATGATATTGAGAAGTTCTCAAGTTAACCAGCAATCCTCCTCACAATCCTGTTGCCATGTAACTTACATAAACTCTGTAACATCCTGCAGCCGTTTGCTTCTGAGTACCTACCCTGAGTTTTGAATGAGGATATCCCCTCCCCTGACCCAGGCTCCATGATCATTGTTTTTGAAAGAGATTAAACTATCAATCAGAGCAGCAACTCGGGGCTTTTCAGGGTCTGCATCTTGATGAGGTCGAAACCTGGGACAGATAAGAATCCAAACATTCAGTAGGAGAAAACATTGTTTCACAAGTGTCATATATGTTGGCATAAAGTAAGCCTTAAAGATAAACACTCATGTTCATCTGATGGGCAAAGTCCACTCTACTTCACATCTGGAATGATAGAAATTAAATCCAGGTGCATCTCTAGCTCTTTTATTACTAGAGAAATGTTTCTGGGTATAATGAAGCAAGAATCTAAAACTTCTCTTTTCCAGTAACTCTCACAGGCTTTTGCTCAGTCTCTCTGAGTTTCTTTAGCTGCACCTCAAAGTCCAGAATGTACAGCAGAAAGCATTCAGCAGTAGGAAAAGCAAGTGGATGTACTACAGAAGTTTTTTTCCTAGCAATTAGTTAAAACCGAGTCATAAAACAGATGAACAGATTTGAAAGGAAAACTTTCCTTTTAGCAGGAATTCCAGAAAACGTTTTAAGCATGACAGTAGAGCATGTTTAAAACAATGTCTTCCAGGAGCCTGAAAACTACCCTGAGCAAGAATTCTGAAGAAAGAGCCAAATCCTTTAAGACATCCCATCCCTGTTCTTCCCAAAACATGAACGAATGAGGGAAAATATATGAATTTATTGTTTTGTTATAATTTATAAATTATTGTATTGTTTTACAAGTGTTTTTCCTCGTGAATGTAAGAGTAGCCTCAAAACTTCACTCACTTGAAAGAAAATGTCCTTTACCTTGCATTGTTGTCCAAACAAAGATATTCTCTGGGATCATCAGCACTAGCATTAGTTGTTTTAACACCCTTATCAACAAACAAACCAGCCTGAAACAAGCAAGGAAAGAAAATTCATACTATCCAAAATTAAAGATAAACAAACACTGAATTTATAAAATTTAAACACTGCATTCCATACACAAATTAGAAAATCTTAGATCTTTCAGTTTGGCTTTAACAGTCATTTTTTCTATGGGAAAACTAGTTAAATAATATAATAAACCAGTCTGTGTTAATTTGGGAAGAGGAAATAAACTGTCTGGGATTTAAAAAAAAAACCCAAAAAGTAATGGAAAACCATTAAAGTTCACTTTGGATTTCTTTCACAACATCTATTTGAGATTTTACATTTATTTCCAGATGGTGTTCTGGAAAATCTGGAATCCAACCTTGTGGTGAATTCAAATTATTCTCTGTGAAAAATCCTCTGTATTTCATTTTAAAATTAAACCACTCTCACCACTAAAGAGTACTTTTGTCTAAGCAATCATCAGGTTGGAAATTTATAAACCAGTATGATATAATTTACTTCAGAAAATAAAAGGAAGAAGCATTTATGTTCTTTAACCTGAATTCCATAAAAATACCTGCAACTACTTTCACCTCTGATCCAAATTATGATTACAAATAAGTCTCATGCGCATGTAGATTCTCAGATCTGCTAGTGGAATTTTCTCTTTTAACATGGAAATTCAGCACACAAACTGTGTTTAAAGATGATACTAGCTATACAGATAAAATTTTTTTCTTCCTACTGCAGCTTTGTATTTGGTATGTTTTCTTTCCAATCTGAAGAAAATGCCCGCAGTCCCAAAGAGATCATTAACACAACCTCCATAAAACATTGCATCATTTCTTGGTATCCTAGACAACCAATTGTCAAGAAAAATCAGTTCACTTGGCAAAAAAAAAGTCAAGAGTGATTCTATAAGTTTTCAATGGCTAAATTATGAGAATGTCTATAAGGCAACTGCAAACACCAATAAGAATTTAGAATTTAGGTGGCTTTGTAAACATCATTGTATTTATGTACCCACATACAGAGAGCAGGTAGATTCCAAATGAAATACTTTAAGGACTTTAACTTCACTTAGCTAAAATGTGGAAAAGGTATGAAAGTCACGCTAATAAAACAATCATCAAAGCCTCTATCTAAGCTGAGAACCTGTAAGAAAGAACAGTTGCAACTAACTGGGCTCCTGAAGGCAACACTGAAGCTTGATTTCTAGCCAGAGACCATGTCACCATGTGCAAGCACTTGAGTTACTGTACATTAGAGACTCAGGAAAACAAGCCACAGCTACTCCAGGAAGCTATTAGATGAATTACAACTATAATCAACTTTGATTCTTCAAGGGTCAGCTTTCTTCAGAGTAGAAAACAAAGCTACAAAGAGTAGCACCTGAAATGCCACTTCTGAGAAAAAGTACTTTATTAAAACCATTAATTGGTTTTAGTTGCTTGATACTTAAGGAGGATATAAAACACAGTGAATACTTGAAACATAGCAAGAAAATATATGCATACTGTTTCTAAACCATTCTACAATACAGTTCAAACACAGCACAAATCTATCATCTACCCAGCTCAAAATGTAAACTGACAAATCCTAATACAGAATATTTGCAAATAAAGAACACCACTTTTTTTTTTTTTTTAATGAGATAATACATTACCTTAAAATTAGAATGAACCCTGTTGTTATAGAAGATTCCTAGGGGTGTAAGCTCCGATTTGGTTTCAATGGCTAAACTATGAGAATCTCCTGTAGCAACCCTATGGAACAAATACCATATTCCAGCATCCTGCAATTAAGGAGAGAATAATACTACTTATAAGTGATTATGATACTACTACCAGTGTTGATGCATCTATTCACAAAATGAGCGTATGCTAAGCTGAACCTGGACATTTTAAGTAAAGATGCAAGCAAGAGCAGAGCCCAAACCAACAGCACTCAATAGGATACATTTTTTTAAATAATGTTTCCAAACAACTTCCCAATGAGAAAGTAGGATTTTGCAAATTAGTCTATATTCTAGTGAAAAATACACACTAAAATGTGTTTTGCTTCTCACTGAAATATGTAACACTGTACATTTAAGATCTTCTAATACTTCAGGAAGAAAAAGTGTCCAAGCTAATATAAGTAAGTTTTGCATTCCAGTTACATGTCATCCCACACACTTGATTTTCCTTTTTTCATTAATAAATCATACTATTCACAGTAAAATACTCAAAACCATTCCTTCTCTCCTTACTGTTACAGTCTGACTAAAGGTAGTTCATCTCTGCTCACATCAGAATTTAAATAGCACATAAAAAAAATCCACAAGAGCTTTCAGAGAACGGGAAAAAAAGCATATTGAGAAGTCCAGTCAGTTCAGAGCACTGTACCAAAAACATGCAGTAAAAAATTCAGTATCTGTTCATTTTCTCTACTTCCACATTCCTGCTCTTAAGGAAGCTATTAAATAAGACTATTAAATAAGACCCACAAAATTTCCCCTTTCAAGCACATCTGTGTTCAAAAGAGGTGGCACCACGACAACACCTGCATAACAGATACCTACAAAAAAGGAAAAATTTTGCCAGACCATATGCTCTGTGCCCTTACAATAAAAACAAAAAATAAAAAATAATAATTAAAAAATTGCTTAAAGCACATTACAGGGCTGAAGAGTAGGTAAAGAAACACTGCATACTGAATGTTCCATCTTGCAAAAAACAGTCATCATCCTTTTCAAGAAACATGGATAAAGTCAATTCCCGCTAGTTTAAAAGATTTCAAACATTTCACTCTGGGAATATGTTCATTTTTCATCACCTGGAAATTCTGCTTCACAGCAATATTCCCCATCCACCATGATGACATTTCTAGTGACTAACCATTACAAAGCAAATGTGGATGTTCCATTAATAAAAAAACTTTACTTCACATATAATTAAATACAGCCTTATGTTTGGCAGTAAATTTTATCCAAAACACATCTTGATGCTTGAAAAATTGTTAAATAAACTTAAAAGCTTCTTAAGTGCTTGAAAACATTCAGAAATACAAAAAGAGTGGCTTTTTGCCTTCCCTCCTCTCTCTCATACACAGCCAAAACAAAAGAAACATCTACTGCCAATACACCCTTACAATAGGCTTCATTGCAAAATGAAGGAGCTGGGGGGAGGAATGGAATTATTTGTTTGTGAATTGCTATAGTTTGTACCAGCAGAGGCTCTACAGTGTAGAGTTTGTATGAATTTTTTTTTATATCTTAGATATTTCAACTCCGTTAAATATTTTGGATCCTATTCTATTTATTAATAACAGTTTATTATGTTATCTGTACCTAAAAATACACACACTCATATTTCAGCATTGGAGCCAACAACCACCAACAGTCTTTCCTGTTCTCCATCCCAGTGGTCTCTTTTAAAAAAATCCACTCAAAACCATATACATCTCAGACTCTTCTCCAGTGCAGAAGCAGAACAGACTCCAGCCCCCTCCCCCCCAACATGTACAGAATAGTTCAGCTTTACTTCACCAGCAGCTATTACAAGATAGTTACACTAATATAAGGTTAACAACAAGCAAACTCGTATCAGCAGTCACTGACTGGAAAAAAATGAGTAAACAGTGACAGGAAAAAGTAGTTTAGCTGTTTCTTACACAACAAACACCCTTTCGTAGTTGTTTTTTCATTCCAGTGACTACAGTTCAAAGACAAACCTTGCAGAGCTGTCACTAAACTCATGACAACCTAAAGAAAATACAGAAGCCTTTACTGAAATGCACTAGTTCTCTGAAAATAAAAGAATTTCTTTGTATACACGCTGACACTATTGTCAGGTCTATTAACTACAAAGGGGAAGAGATCTCCTCTGTTGTGGTCAGAACAAAAGATTTTTGGTATCTCTCAATTGCATGTCTAGACACACCCTGCACCTTCAATATCAACAGACTTTCAAACATAACAAGAACATATTCATATAAAAGAAAGAAAAATATATGCACTTCTGGCAGTGTAAATGTTATAGATTTTACAGATACCAGTGACATGAGTAGTTTGTGATGAATTACACCAATATGCCTCACCTGTGAGCCTGCTGCTGCATTATTTATAAGATGATTGTTGGGATGAGAAATCCAGAATGTCGAAACTGCCCTAAAATATTATTCAGAAACAGGTTATTATAGAAAGGTTCTAGCTCCAGTAAAAATCTCCCCTTGCTAACAAGCACATCAGGAAAAGCTAAACTGGTGAAGTCACTACTTCACATATGCAATAAAAATCACAAAACCTCCCACATTTAGAAAACAAAAGTGCCTTTTTTTTTAGTTCAATGCCCAATATTGCATTTAATGTTATGCAAATATCCCATGTAACGATAAACTGGTTTAAGAAGCTTTCACAAGAAATAACTATCACTTTTGTCTCTAGTGGTAACTACTTGAGTATATGCATACATTTACACAGAGGTAAAGATGTTCAATAGTCTTTTAAGGACACTAGTATAACAAGGAACAACAATCTTCCTATAAAACAACTTGTTTTATCTCTAATAAAAGACTAAATGCTACTTTTTATTTTTATTTTTTAAACACCACTATGTGAACTATATTTAAGGTGTCTCTGTTCACTAAATTATAGATAAAAATGTTCCCATCTGTATTTCTTCAAGAGATCATCAGCATGGCTTGGGTTTAGTTTTTCACCATGACATACTCACATGCAGTCTGTGGCTGGCACTGGGACGTAGTTTCCATACACTTTATCCCTAATACCAATACACATGCTGCTGTTTCTGTCTGTAGGTAGAATAGTGCCTGGTTTTGTGACTAGCCCAAGATTGTGGAACAAAGTATTCCTCTGCTCAATGCCATCTTCTATGAAGAAACAGTGACCTAGAGTGTCGTAGCCAATGGTGTCCTTTATCTGCAGAAATACAAGTTCATTATGTCAGTAGTAACCAGCATTTACTGAGATTTACTTGACAAATACCATATAGTTACACTATCTTGGCACAGCTGCGCAGTGAAGTTTCAGTATCAACAGTTCAGATGAGTTAAAACACAGTAGTTTCATTTATCCCTTATAAACACACTATTATGTCTGGAGAGCATAGCTGCCTGGAAGAATCTGAGAAAACAGAATGGTGAGAGCTGTTAAAAATAAACTACTGTTTGCAATTGTTCAGTTATTCACTGAAATAACAAAAACATCAGTGAATATTAAACTTGCAAAAAGGATGGGAACTATTTTGGAGTCCAAGTGCTCTTTAACATTTATTCCAACACAGTATGTTTTACTCTACTTGCACCTACCAGCAAGCCATTAGTTGCATGAATAGTCACACATCTGGAAAAACAGTGATGAATGGAAAGACCTTCCAGGTAAGTTTTAACACTATAACCTCCTTTTTCATCCACATCCCCACAAAGGTGAAAATGAATAGGATAACTTCCAATCTGCTGCTGGCCCATTTGCTTCAATTCCACGTAGGAGAGATGAACAGATGTAAAATTCTTCAAAATCTAGAAATATGAAGTCCAGAGTGAATAACCGATTATTTACTTCTTAACCAATGGGAATTTTAAATTAATACATCATCTACACCAGAGATACCGAAGTTAGACGTACACAGTTGCCACAAGATAACAAAGTTAAGTTAGAACAATCGTTACAGTCTTGCTCTACACAATGCCCCACAAAATAGTATCCTTCATAGATAAGTTAAAAAGTTTAACTTCCTCCTGGCTAAAACAGAGGAATTTTCACCAGACATATTGCCACACTTTACTGTTTGGTCTTTATCAGGTGGCACATTACACATTCTTTATATGTGCTCCCCAAACAGAGAAGTCACCCACATCAGAATCTGTCTGTACTGAAGCTGCACCAGTGTAGTCCACCTGGCACAGGCTTAGCTGAATAAAAACGAGCTCTGCAGAATAACAGATTCAAAGGAACCTCATAATATTCCTAGTCCAATTGGAAGTTCAGCGCTGGGTCAGCTTTAAGACAGTTGCTCAGCATATTGCTCAGAGAATACTCTCAGCCACAGAGATGTAAATTGGTTCTACCCTTTCATTTTCCCAGTATCTAAGCATTATTTGCTTTGCTGAAGCCTAGTCCCATTGCATCTTCATCCTCTACACCTTCAAGAATTGCTCGGGCTTCTTTGAACCCGCACCAGTGCCTGTAGACAGAAACGTGATCCCTTCTCTCAGCTCCTCCTCACTCATCATCACTTACTGCCACACACCACCTTCCCTGGACACACCCCAGTCCATCTAAATCATCTTTGCAACGGGAACCCAAAACCGGACACAGCACTTAAAAATTAATTTCTTTATTAAGGAAGATAAGAAATTGCCCTCACGATTATACAACTTTACAGTAAAGCTACTGGGTACAAAGTAAAATCATGATGGGGCTGTACCAGTAATGCAGATGATGCTATGAAAATATAAACCAAGTGCAACAGCTAAGCTGCAAGGAGCTAAGTTTAAACAAACAAACAAACAAACACACACAAAAACAAAAATCAGAAACCAAACCAAAACAGACCCTGCTTTTTGTTTGTAATTTAACTTCATTAATTTACCTGTACTGAGAATTTACCAAAAATTTTCACACGTACTTTTTTCTCTAGGAAAATCAGTCATATGGACTGGTTTTTTCCTCCTTGTCTACATGAACTCCTAAGCTTTGCATGCCTAAAATACAGGCATCCCTGATCTCTGACTCTTTAATACTGAAAAGCACCAAAACTGCAAAGCAATGCCACCCCCTCACTGCCTCTAAGCCTCCTTTATGCTATTGTCCTAGTGACCAGTAGGAAATCTGGGATGATCAAGAGTTATTACATTTCTTAGTGTCTAGTATCCCTCTGCTTAGGCACACAAGATTAGCATAAATTAAAAATGTTTTCAGTGGTGCTAAGTCTAGGTTTGGCAGCAGCCACCTACTACTCTGAACAGCCTCCCGAAAAAAGTTTAACTACTTTAATGACTCAAAATGTTTGTTTTCTAGCTTCCAGACATCTGAGGGTCTGCTGTATTTACACTTTTGTGGAAAACAAGGTCACACTTCGCAAGATTTGCAGCCTATTGTTATCTTCTTTCATTACATTATCTTAAACACAAAGATGTGCCTTGAGTCCATCCAATTTCTTCTACAAAAAAGCTGCCACACAGTAGGGAAAGGGCATATTTTCTTTCTCACTATCATGTCCACCACTGTAAAATTAAAATCTGCATTCAAATACACTAGAAAGAGATTTAAACTGTGATGACCACATAATGAGCCCAAATACACTTGCAATTAAAATATGAGGCCTCAAACTTCTCTAGCATCAGTGAAACACTGCTGCTCAAACCTTTCCTCTAAAAATGTAAGTGAACACAAGTTTAAAATTTAGTTTCTATAATACTACTTTCCCTCAGCTTTATGTTTACACTACAAGAAATCAGAAGCAGTTTCCTTTATATAACCTTAGTATTTTCAAATTTTTAAAAAATTAAATATAAAAACCCACGATCCAACACAGCTTCTTTTCCCTCCAGGCCTCTCTAGTGACCAGTTTCAGATGAGGCAGATATTTAGGACTCATTGCTCAACACTTGGGGAGGGAAGAAGGCAGTGAAAGGAGGAATAAGAGATAAGAGAGAAATCAAACTTTATTCTGTAATATAACTGGATGCACACACATGGACATGACTTCTAAGGTTTAACCCCTGCCACAAAACATTGCAATACTTGCTGGATATTTCTGTAACACTTGTGCACTGATATCCCTTCCTCCAGCAAACTCTACTTTTGGGAAAGCTGAGAACAAAGTCATTTCCACACAAAGCAACTGTATAAATTTATGTTTTCAAATACTTTAAAGTTTAACTTTTTTTTTTGTCCTCAATGTGCCTTTACATGACAGAAAATTACTTTAAAATGTTTTTCAAACCTTGATATGTCCACCAAACGTATCATAACTAAAGAACTGACACTCCTTTTCACGGTAGCAGGTATTTTCTGTCTCTCCCTTTATTAAGATATTTCTTGTAAGAACTCCAACTTCTGCTCTCATGTCCACTCCATCAATAACTTCTCCTACATGAGGAAACTGAGGATTTTCTGTCCAACGAAAGTTTTGAAGGGGGAAAAAAAGAAAAAAAGTTGTCACTGATTAAAACCAGAACCAATTTATACAAATAAGCAAGTTAAACATAGCAGCAAAACCCACACATTCCTCTTACCACACTGTTCTCTTAGCTTTTCTTATAGTAGATGTATCTTTTATTTTAATAAGACACTAATCCTAAACAAATATCAACATTTTATTTGAAAATGTGCAAATGTGTCTTAATTTCAGTTTGTGAACAGGATGGGGAAAAAAAAAAACAAAGAAAAGGTTAAATTAATCGCATGTATTTAAAAAACTTTTAGTAAAATGTAGACGCACACTTCCTTTAAAAGAAAAAAAAGATGCTGGCTACTTAATCTGTCTCAAAGACAAATTAAGAACTGAAAATGAGGCCCAAACACCTGTAGAAAAACACTGTATTCATCCTCTCCTAAAAGAAAAAAAGATTTGCTTTCCTACTTAAGTTTCCTCTTTCCTAGATAGCTATTCTGAGTATTCATAAACTAATACTAGGAAAAAAAAGATACTCTGGTTTTATACTGTTCTTCCAAAACCCAATCAATGTTTTATTTGAAATGAGAAAGTTACCTAGTCCTGTAAACCTTAAAAAATGCATTTATTGATTGTTGAATACAGACTGTCACTATCCCTTCAAAGCTTACAGAAAGAAAAGCCTAAACTACCACAGAAGCAAAACTAAGAATGATATTAACCCTGTATCTGCTGTTGAGGATTTAACAAGACAAACAACATCTGCAAATGGGACTGCACTCCTCTTCCTGAAGGCTTACCTACTGTTTTCCCCTAGATTTGACTAGCAAATTTAAATCAAGTGAAGAAAGAGCAAGTAGGGTTTCTACAACACAATACTTTTTAGGTTTCCTACTACAAAGAGGCAAAAGTAGCTAAAAGCTCAGCAAAAAATTCAGGAAATTATGTTGCCAAAAACATTCTTCAGAATGTCAAGTTTACCATTCCACATAAAATTCTTTCTTCATAGAACTAATATGTAGGGTGTTTGGGGGATTTTTTTTAAATTGTATATGCAACTATGACAAAGAAAACCATCCCAGGGGTGAAAAAACCCCAAACGAATGGGTAAGTTCACTTCCTTTAACATCCTTTAAAGATCTATAAATAGTTTAGATAGGATTTGTTTTCAAAAAACCAAGATTTTGTATTTTATGCCATATTGTATATCTTGGGAACACAAGTTTTCTAAAAACCTTTAAAAGACTAATACTGCAAAACCACTTCTCATTAGTCTGCGCTACCAACTGATGTTGCAGCCCACCAGAAGGAGTGAGAGGGAAAGCTCCAGATCAGAAGCCGGAGTACCATCAATAAGGAGGGCATGGAGCTGGTGTGGAGTAGCAGAAGGAAAACACAGACGTCAGCATAACTGGCAAACCAGTCCCCTGGGAAGCTCTTGTGATGTCAAGCAGAATGACTCAGATAATAAAAAGGAAATGGCCAACAACACACACAACCATTTTGTGCACATCACACCCAAAGGAAAAACAGATTGCAACCACTCAGGGATATCCTGTGTGAGCAGAATCTTGGAAGGGACACTTATTTCATAACCATTTTGTTGGGGGGGGTAGAAAGTAGACTGAGGAAACTGAGAAAAAACTAAAAAGGAGCAGGGTCAAAGATTGCAATTTTCTTTTTTCTTCCTTTTTTTAATTTCTCCTTTTTTAATAACAACAGAGAAATTTATAATGATAGCAGTTCAAAAGATAGGAAGGACACTAAAGGCAAAGGAAATGGTAATAACTATAACAGCTATTTAAGCACATACAAAGAGAACTTCTGAAAAGACAGAAAGAAGCCATGGAAGGAAAACAAGCATAATCCTCTTGGAAAAAACCCAAGGCATTCAACAAGCCTGGGAAGACATGAGAAAGAAAAGTTAATACAGTAAGCTGCGAGGCAGACCTGACTATAGAGTCATTCTGCAGCAAGGAGAATTGCATATTTGTGTATATGGCAACAAAGCCACAGAGAGATATGTAGGCTGTTCTTTACTGCTCCCATTGCAAGGGACTGTCCACGCACAAACACTTATTCACACAGGCCTTCAAGTGGGGACTGCTCTCATACCTTTGACTTTAACCTGATGCTTGGTACATTCTGGGCAGGGAAGAAGGGTGAATTCCTCTGTCTGATACATTGAATAGTCTGTGCTTGCAACCACAATCCGGTCTCCAGGCTCCCAACTACTAGCATCATCCAGAAGATTCAGTATTACTCCACCTACTGCTTCCACCTGGAAGCCTGAAACTGGGACACCTAATTTAAAAAAAAAAAAAAAAGTAAACACAATATAAGATATTCAACTTTATATGAAACCATTCTCAAGTAGATACTAATAAAATATGTATGAGATTTCGCAAGCTCCAAAGCCCTCTAAACTACAACTCTGACCTTAAACATGCTAGTGTGACATACCTCTACAGCCTGCTTATTTATTTGCTCTCAAATGAAACAAAGCGACAAGGCAGAACTAACAGCAAGAGGAAAAATCTATGATTTAAAAAAAAACAAACAAACAAACCAAACAACTAATATCATATGGTAACAATTTGTAGGTTCAGCTACCTCTGCTTGTTTCAAGTGACATTTGCCATTTTAAACTCTGCAGATGTAATCAAGGCCCTGGAAAAAAAGGTAGAGGGACTTTTTTTTTTAAGCACAGCTAATAGAACAATTTGGCAGACTAAATTACACACACATGATATTTCACTGGCTTATGATGGATCTGAACAAATTCAGCTGCTTCTGCTAACTCTTGAACTTAACTCTACAGCACCAATAAGTAAAAGATATATTTAAAAAAAAATCCACCAAAATACAAGTCTGTACATTTTCATAGGGCCATAATGAACAGTAAAAGGGTAGTACCTAATGGCTTAACTGCTTAACAAATAAATACGTAACTACCATAAAAAAATTCTTGTGAGGAAAACACTATATTGCTTAGTAATTCTAAAACCAGAAGGAGATAACTACCCACACATATCCTAAATTTAAAATTATTAAAAATAAGTGATAGGCCTTCTAGCTTTTTATAGCAGAGATTCAACTTTGTATGAGAACAGCTGCCTAAACTTCAGCATTCAAACAGCAAGAAAAATTGTAGCAAGAATAAAACATTTCTCTTAGCTTCTATCAAGTTTTCTTTTTTAGCACCATAATCAACATCTCAAAAGCTTAGATTTAAAATATACATGACTGAAAAAATACTAAAATAAAATTTAAAAACCCCCAGCATTTATAACACCCCTATCTCTACTTAGATAGACTAAAAAATTAAGACAATATGATACTGCTCAGATACTCTATACAAACAGATTGAGAAGAGGTAGCACTGAAGAACTGTGTCCTCATACTTCATCCACAGCAAGCAAAAAACAACTTACAGTAGCACTCAAAAATTTAAATTGTAACCAACAGCTCTAGCAAAAAAAAAAAAAAAAAGCATATACAATATTTTTCTTCTTCTCCAACTGTAGCATTTCAGAAAACACTTTCCTACCATCATTCCATTCGCTGTAAGCTCTCACAACAAACTTCTGACCGTCCACTGTGAAAAACTCTTTCTGAGCAAGAGCTTTCCCACCAGTGCTGTGGTTTTCATAGTTTCTCACTGATTCATTACAGGAAGAATTTCCACCACCTATAACACCAACTAAAGCCCAGGCTTGCCTGTGAAAATCAAAAATAAATGTTTAAATATAATAGCCCTTAACAATTCTTCACAAAAACAGGAAAAGATAAGGAGCACCAAAGCCAAAAAACTTTTTTGTCTGCTCTTCTAAATTAATTTTAAAACGCAACTTCAAAATGTAGAAGAAAATGCGGAGACCTCATTGAAAAGAAAATTTGTTTAAAATAAGTGGATGTCCTATATATAAATTCACAAATAAAAGAGCTCTCACTGGAGAAGAGTTCCATATATATTTTCAGTAAAATTTTCAACAGGATACACTTTTTTCCAAAAGCAAAATCACTAGAGATGAGCAACAAAAGCAATACAGGATCCTATTCCCAAAAAGTATTAGTAGGGCACAGGAAGACCAGAAGCCAGAGCCAACATTCCTGCCATGGCCCACTGCCGTCAGGCAGCAGCACCCCAAAGGAGTGACCAGGCCTCCCACGGGACCACATGTTCATCAGGCCAGGAGAGATGGACACAGGCAACAGCACTCATTGGCATTGGCTACTGTGCTGGACAGGCAATAGCTTCTGAATCTTTCAGGATGCTCAGATCCAGAAAAGGAACCACAGGCTGTTACACAATCTTTGCACAAGAGATCAAAATTTCTGAAGGCTGAGACCTAGGGTTGTTGTTTTTCACCCCTCCCTAGCCTATCCCTCAACTGGACACCTACTTGGCTGAGCACCAGCACAGAGCAGTGAACTGCCCTGGATGTACTGCCCTTCTTATGGCTCTGCTCAGTGCAACTAAGTTTTTGGAAATTAAAAGCAAACACACCACAGAAAGCTGCCACCAAGTTCAAACAAACAAGTCTATTTTGCTGTCCTCTGTAATGCCATAATCATGTGCACAGAGAGAGGAAGCAGTCAAGATCATCTATTAAAAAGCTGGACAATTTTGCATCATTAAAGTTGAATCATTCACCCTAAATGAAAACAGTGTCAGCTATCTGGACTACAGTCCGTTGCTAATGATTGATTTAAAGGCAGATATTAAAACCAGATATTAAACCTTTGATCCTATTGCCTTTATTTAAGTCCCCTCTTGATATTTTTGTTGATTGGGATTCATTAACACGTTCATAGGAATAGTACATATCGGGTCAGCTTTTCAGCAGCAGCAGTAAACAATCTGAATGTTTCACATATCAACATTTAAAATAAAGATAAAGATATTTTGATGCATGTTATTTTGCAGGAAGAGGTAGAAGGAGAGAGGGATGTAATGGAGTATTCACCTCCATGCTGAAATCTTCTTCACTAGCTTTACAGGTTTAACAAAACGACCCTCAGTGAGCCATCAGGGAGAGCTTCTCGCCCATCTTCCACAGCAGAATAAAACAATTTTATGTGCTTAGAGAGCCTTTACTGACTACGGAAAACAGACAAGAATCAGTTCAGCAAAGAAGGAAAAAGGCTGCTTCTTCCCAAGTTGCAGGATGAAGAAGTTCCTTATTTCAGACAAACTGTGTGGAGGTCACAGGCAGAGACAAACCCCACAAATCTACACCTCTCAGGACAGGTGGGGCAGGTTGCACTACAACCTGAACAACCCAAAGCCGCAGGGGCTTTGCTGCTTTCAGAAGTGGTGCTCTTCTACAGGACATCCTGGTCTTGGCACCTCTGACCAAACTGCTTCAGAGGCAGCACTGCAAGTGCTTTCCATCCCACGACCCCACCCTTACACAGCCAGTGACATAAATGTGTTCCTGACAGGAACTGAGGTCAGAACATGCCATCCTGACTGACACGCCAGCCCGCCTCTGCCAAAGTTTAGGGAGGAAACTAACAGGAATCCAGATGTCAGGGTCTAGTGAGGGATAAGAATAGAACAGAAAAACTAAATGACAAATTTCCTGGAAAATACTGGACAATATAATGAGGTTATACAAGACCACCTCAATGGAAGCTGAAGAACGGACTGACAGTCACTTAGGAGACTGGGTATACTTTCCCTTGTATCACCAACACAGAATCCTAGAATGATGTAGGCTGGGAAAAACCTCTAAGATCATCACATCCAACCTGTGACGAATCACCACCTTGTCAACTAGAGCATGGCACCCAGTGCCATGTCCACTCATTTCTTGAGCAAATCCAGGGGTCCCTGGACATCCTCCCAACTCCCTGGGCAGTCGATTCCAATGGTTAACAATCTCTTCCACGAAGAAATTCCTGCTGAATTCCTGAACCTCAGCTGATGCAGCTTGAAATTAAGTCCTCTTGTCCTGTCACTAGCTGCTTAGGAGAAGAGACCAATCCCACCTGGCTAACAGCCTCTTTTTTGATTGTTGTAGACAGTGGTAGGGTTTCCCCTGAGCCTCCTTTTCTCCAAGCTTAACACCCCAATCTACCTCAGCTGCTTCTCATATGCATTACTCTCTAGACACTTCATCAGCTTCATTGTCCTTTTCTCGACAAGTTGCAGCATCTCAATGTCTTTCTGGCTGTGAGAGGCCCAGAAATGGACACACGACTCGAGGTGTGACCTCACCCGTGCTCAGTACAGAGGGACAATCAGGTCTTGCTGGTCACAGTATTGCTGATACAAGCCAGAATGCCATTTGCCTTCTGGGCCACCTGGGTACATTGCTTTGTGTGCCCAGAGTAGTGTGAACAACCCTCTGCAGCACAAGCCAAGTTCAAAACATGCACTGCAAAAAGCCCTTTGCAACAACTAAATGAACAGCCCAGCAGTTTAAGTTTCCTGCTTTAATAATTCCTGTAATAACTATTACCATCTCACCATCCAAATCCTGACCAACTGAAAAGAATGGTCAAAAGATACAGAAACACTTTATAAGTGCACTTCAATTACAAAAACATTCCAAGATCAGTTCCTTTGTGGACTCAATGGAGGAGTAATGTACTTTCATTTCAACAGTGCAGGAGTATGAATAAGATGGCATTTGATACCCGGGATTAGTATCCCTTACAATCACAGAATGGTTTGGGTTGGTGAGACCTTAAAGATCACTTAGTTCCATTCCTTGCTTCTCTAAAACTGTAGACATTAAAAGCTCCGCCTAGAAGCTCTTTCCCACCTGTGTCTTAGAACGAGAGAAAAATGCTTGATGCACCCACTTTTAATTTCTGTAAAGAACAGTGAAAGAGAGCAATTACAAGTAAGTAATAAAGTTTATCACACAAATATCTGTAACTATCAGTCTCTGCACTGTATCACTGAGTACTATTACTGCAGCACTATGTAAAACACGAGAATTCTCCGAAAACTTTATGAACAGACACTGTCAATTTAACGAATCCCCCAAATCTGCATCTCATCTTTACTTAGCACAAAAGGGAAAATAAATTATTTACCTGTAACTTAATCCTCTGACAAACTTACTTCCCAAAAGATTTTGAATAGTCACTCTGGTTTCCTCCAGTAGATTTTTAGCAGCCGAATCTCCTACAGCAATAGCAATAATGCGACCAGGACTTCCATTTTTCAGTAAGTTCTGGAGCTTCAAGCTTTCTTCTGAAAATTCGTGAGTATCAAACTTCAGCACTTCCAAAACTTCTGCTGTGTCCTGATCGATCACTCTAACATTTAGTCCTCGGGAAAAATTCTTTTTAAATGTATAAGGACCATAGGCCAGCCCTGAGAAATACAAAGTCTTTGACAGAAAAGTCCATGACACCTTCTGGTGCCCGTGCAACTCCAGTGTTCCTTCAGGGCCCACACCAATAAATTTTTCACCAAATTCTAGCACATCAGCACCTTCATTTGATTTCCCATACAAAATAATAGTTGCTTTGGACTTATAGCGGCATTTCTCTGCTCCAACATGAAGCATTCCACCATCCTTTATCAGGATAAATCGAGTTCTCAAGGTAATATTTTTAGAACCTTCTTTATCATCAGCAAAAACAAGTAAACCTAAAGGAAAGAAAGCATTTCTATATGTCAAAGCAAAATTCAGATAGACTCAAAAAATTTCTGCAGTAAGAACAACAGAAAAATTACAGATTAATTTCCACAACCATGAATTAAGCTGTTATGTTCTTACATATATTTATGAATATTTGCTAAAGTAACTGCTACCAATTGTGATTTATCTTTGTAAGAATTTGCTTGGTTTATTCCTAATTATTTTCTGCCATTTCAGTAGGATTTACTAATATACAACAGGTACCAACAGAAGACAAATAGATCTTGGACAAAGAAGGCTACTAAACAATTTTTTTTGTTTTTTTACTATATATTGCACAGAAAACTGTATCAGTGCTGCATTGAAAAGACACTACAGTGTTTATTCATCTTTTGAATGACATACCTGACCTGGTAGCAGGCTGAAAAGTAAAAGCACAGCAACTGGTCAGTAAGCTGCAACTTAAATTTCCAATATATTTTTATGTAATCACAAAAGCAAAAAATATGCAGAACACTGAAGCATGGTGTTTATCTTGCTATTTCATACCTCCATCCTGTATAACTATAGAGTGTACTGTAGCATCTGAGTTCAGACGAAACAAATCCCCTTTTTTGATAAAAACTCGTTTTTCAGGATCTTTTCCAGGGCTCCAGTTTTTAAGACGAGGATTCTGATCAGGACAATTCTCTGCAATACAATGTGAAATACAACTTTTCAAAAACAAAACACCATCACATCAATCAAGGCATCATTAGGATGAACAAAAGTAAGAGAGCCAGTCACCCACAAAGGGTTCCCACCTCTTTCCCCAGTTACAACACCGCAGCCACTGATGCTACCGTTTGTATTTGAGTAGCCAAAAAGACACCTGAAAGGTGGCTAAACTCTCAAGGCTCGAAAGGCATTCTTACACTGTATTAAACCACACACTGTTGACAACAGATACTTCTGAACTCCATCGGATTTTTTCTTATTTGCTATATCACCTGTAATAGATGAGAAGAGGCAAGCAGGATGCATTCAGATGCAGAGCAGTCACAATGAGCACTGGAAGTCTTAGGCCAGCTACCAAGGCTAACTGACACAGTTGTAAAGCATCTAGGTATCTCACCTCCCTCAAGGTCTCTTCCCTGTGTCAGAAAGGCTGATACCTTATTGCTTTTAAGCACCCAAATCAATTCTTTCAGGGTAGGTTTGCAGGTAATGGATAAAAGAGGGACAATACATCCTTATTATATTTAATATTAATATCTAACTAGCTAGAGCAGTTTCCTGGGAGACAAGACATTTGGGTTTAAACTTACTGGTTTGTATCCCTTAGGAAGTTGGCTTAAGTATCAGGCTACAAAAGCAGAGACACGTGCAATCCTTGCTGAAACTCTACTGAAGGTCTGGCACTACACAGGCAGTAACACCAAGCTACAAGGCCAGAAAAGGAGAGGCAGCAGTAGGAAGTGACAGGCTTGTGTGATTTCAGATGAAGTTACAGCAACGTAGTATTTACAACACACATGTCTTTAGCATATTAAGCATCTGAGTAATGCAGCAGCACAGGCATACCACATAAAAAGGAAAGTATATTCCTTGGAATATGTTACCAAAAGTCAGATTAAAAATGTTTTTCGTATGTAAAAGACAACTAAAAAGATACCAAAATAAACATGTTAGCAGCCCAAGTGAAAGTCACAGTCAGAATAGCCTTTTCACAATTTATCTTCTGGAGAAAAACACCCACACATGTTAAGTGCAACTTAAGAGAAAAAAAGCTATTAGCAATAGTCCATTCTTGCAAAATGTAAAGAAAGTAAAATCTAGCCACAAGTTTAACTGTGTTTTGCTGACAGAAATGTTCTTCCTTCAGTGTTAACTCTCTACTTATCAAATCCCTCACAACTTGGGAAACTCACATACATCAAGATTTCACTACCAGTGCAGAAAAATTAGCAAACTGCAGAAAGGGCAAAAGACATATAAGCAGCAATACAAAAAGAAAACCAAAATTAAATCTTCTGGGAGGATCCTATGAAGATAGCATTTGGAAAATGTAATTCAATAAGGGAAAGCCAAAAAGCAAGAAGCTTTGCAATTAGCAAGACTGCTGAGCACTCAGCAGATAAAGGCAAGCCTACAGCCTGACTCATAGAGTCCCTAACCCCTTTTCCCCAGATACCACACACACAAGCATTGTGAAGAAACACTTATTTCCTGGCTAGTAGCAAAGGGCAGTGTGAGGAAACCATGAGTCAGCAACCTGATGACTTCTGCTTAATGTGATTCACAGGAGCAGATCCAGTGACTTAGATTTTTCTGTTGAGTCAGAAAGATGAGGTATAGCACAGTAACTAAAAAGAAATATAATTTTAATATCGATGGTACATTACAATCCATCAAGAATGCCATCAGAATCAGAAACAGGCACTCCTGGAACACAAACATGCTTCTGGGGCATGGTGGATCAACTTTTTGGCAAACAGATGTGCTAAGCAAAAGTATTTTGAAATTCTCCCTTAGCAATTGCAGTGGGTTGCATGGAAACATCTAGTATTTAAAACTTCACCAATGTTACCTCCAAAATTATCGATTACATCTTACAGACGACAGTCATTGCCTCTACAGTTAAGGTTAAATGAAAACGGAACAGATCAGAAATCAGCAGGTAGTGATGACCTGCTAAATTTAGCCACTCATGTTGAAAACTTGAAGTCAAGTCTCTGCTTCAGTGCCTTTCTGTAAAAATGGGCCAACTCTCCTTAAGGTTTTGTTGCTTCTAATAGCGGGGGGGAGGAAGTGAAATTTTTGCAAATCACTGAGGAAAAATACAACACTCCACCCACAAGAAAACACCCTGACAAAAAATAAACTCTAGAACTTTCCATGGAGCCAGCACATGAAACTTGGCAGGAGAAAAGTCGGGCAGGAAACAGTTCTCAAGATATAGTAAAATAGTTACTTTCTACCTGCTTAGACACCCAGTCTTTTTAAGGTCTCTGGGAAAAAGTTATCAGAGTTATATTATGCTCAGCATAAGTTTATCACATTGGGCAGCTGAATTTTCTGAGGATCCTGCTAATCCTGGGCAAGCTCCAGCCAAGAGCTGTAAGGGCAAAGCAGAAAACTTTTCACTGAAAACCTCCCCCACTTGTCATCCTGACTGTGCAGCACAAGCCCAGGGAAATGGGGAAGAAAACTGCATTTCCAGTGTTCTTTCTGATTTCCAGTGTTCAGGGCTCCTTAGAAAAAGAGATGACAGGATGATAAAAGCAAGGAGGAAAAAAGAAACCAGCTGACAGGCAGGAACAGGAATGCAGATTATTGTTTTCCCTTTGGTTTAGGATTTACATACAATTACCACCAAGTGCCATGTTCCCTCCACTGTGTTTTAAACAGTCATTATAAGTATTAACAGTATGCATTTCCAATTAGCCCTGAGGAAGAACGCACCTAACTGGAACTGATGTCATTTGCTGCAGTACTGCATGTGCTTGTGTTGGAACTAAGTGTATTAACATTTCGATCTGTTGGAGAACTTTTGGGAAGTTGCTCCAACAACTACACATCAACCAGACCTTCCTTGCTTGCTTATAGGAGTTTCTCTTGTGTCAGGATTTCACAGTATCACAGAACGGGTAAGGTTGGAAGGGCCCACAGTGGACCACCTGGTCCAATCTCCCTGCTCAAGTGGGGCCACCCCAGAGCTCACAGCAGAGGATTGCATCCAGACAGTTCTTGAATACCTCTGGTGAGGGAGACTCTACAGCCTCTCTGGGCAATCTGTTTCGATGCATGGTCACCTACACAGCAGAGAATTTCTTTCTCATATTAAGGTGGATCAGTTAACGGATCATTAACTGTGCATCAGTTTCTGTCCATTAACTCAGCATCACTGAGAGGAGCCTGACTTCATTCCCAAGTACTTCACGAGTCAGCTGGGCAAGGCACCCCTCAGTCTTCTGCGAATGTGTCTGTAACCAAAGTACTAGTAGATGTACCCATTACCAGTGATCCGGATCACAACACAGGAATAACCTTCCATTTACTACTCCCGAAGGTTTTGTTGTTTTCCTTCATTATTATTAAGAAAACTCAGTAACTTCACCCAAGATATCTGCTTGTAACAGCAACCTACCACCAAGAGCAGTCCAGATGGATGTTTGCGTTCATTTTGTATTGTCATCTGAAATCTTCAACTGATTCTCTGATTTGTTCAGCCTGTGTTATATTGACTTTGGAATCTGCATCTTATTAATTACTATGCCAAAAGCTACTGATAAGTCTAAGTATTCTATTACAATAGCCAACAGTTTCAATTCAAAATCCTGTTTAATTTTTAGAAACCTGACTTCTGCCTTAAAAATACCCCAAAAATTCAAGCAAAACAACCAAAATAGCCTATGCTCCAAACTATACTACCAACTGCACCTTACAGCAACTCTTAGGAGTAACTGGTCAGAGTGACATACACTTTGTGATTACCAGTTAATCACATCAGTTGTTCATGCTTTACAGACACTGACACACCTCAGAGATTCTCCAAATTCCACAAAAGTTGCTCAGTTTTCTAGAATGAGCTGGAGAAAAAAAAAAAAAAATCAAGGCTAATGGATCAAAAAAAGGCCCTGACCAATTTGTGTAAAAACACAGCAAATACGTACAGTTGGTATAGGATCTCCCAGGTTTTTAAATGTTTTTACTTGAATGCTTTTTCATTATCTTCTTTATATTCTATATTCTTACTGCTTACCCAGATAAGGATTTCATTTTGTCTACAATTTAGGAACTTAAAAGACAGCTTCTGCAGACAAAAATAATTATGCTTATAAAACATTCATGCCTTTTTCCCCTCAACCAGTAATCTTTATTTACTGTTATGTCTGTTTCGTGTAAGTAAATCAAATCATGCATAATAAAAACGACACTGATAACATAAAAAGGAGCTGATCTTTGCCCCAAACACTGCTTCCTTCAATGTTAAAATTGCACTAAGTGTCATATTAAGTGCATTTTAAGTGCAGTAAGTGTCATGTTAGTGCACATAAGTGTCCTACTTTTGCACTTAACTTTCAACACTAATCCTGATGCTGAATTATTGAGTTATGATCACAGGTAGTACAACTTCTAGGATGACTTTGTTTGCAAAAAAACTTACCATCTGGAGCGTATTTTGAAGCTATTCCCAAAAAAATCCCCAGTGCAACAAAAAGTGAAAGGCTAGAAATGGCAAAGCAAATAAGAGTATTTTTATGCCTGTTGGCTTCTGCCTGTCGGCGGTGCTGCTCCACTGGTAGGGACGGAAGTCTTGTCCGGGCTTCTTGTCTGGCTGAGGTAAATTCAGCTGCAGCATGGCTCTGTGAGGGCGGCGGGGGACGGAGAGGGGCAATTCTCCCTGGGATGTACCCCGAAGATCTGTGACTGTTCCCGTTCTGAGGCCGGAGGAATGCAGGGGAGCTCCCCCTGGCATCAGTGTCTTGCATGTTATAAAGTCACTGGAACGCGCACACACACACACACAGGGAAGAGATAAGAGACAGGCTTTCAGAACACAGATCAAAATACATAAAAGGAAAAAAGAAATAACAACGACAGGCAATTTTAAGCCACATTTCTAAAGAAGGACAGGCACTGAAGTTGTGGCTATTTACGAAGTATCAGTCAATCAGTTAATACTGAGCACTTAACAGCATGAAACAATAGTATATGTGCCTTCAACAAAAGTAAGCTCAAAAGCATCTGGCGTGGGAACCCAGTAGAGCACAGACCATTTCTTCATAGTTCTAGTAGGTATTTTTTTCACAGTTAACTTGTATTCTGCGATTAAGAAATAAGCTGAACAATGAGAACGCTAGCAACCCCTGCTTCCCCACAGTTATGCAAAGAATGCCTAAATGTATTTCTTCTGCGCACAGGAGCTGAACAAATTCCTCACTGTTTTCCTTCCTGAAAAAGAAGCTGAAAGAGACAAATCTTCTTTCCACACTGGAAGTAGTAAAATGCATTTAAATATACAAAACACCAAATACTATTTTGTGTCTATTCATGCTGTCTATTCAGTGCTCTTACTGAGCTGAGGCATACAGGCCCACAGACTCTTAGTTTACTTATAGCAGCATTCAACTGTTAGTAAAGGTGCCTCAGGAACGGTCCTACAAGAGAGCCATCTGCATCTCATTCAGCAAACCTTGTGGTCTTCCTCACTGCTGAGATGCTTGAGATTGGACACAAAGCCTGGAAGCAACACGACTGCTCCATATCAATGTACCTATCACCCAGAAGCTTTTATTTCAGTTGCTAGTATTGCTTCCATCTTTCTTCTGAAGCACTCAGTGAGGAAAGATTACCAATGCCATCACTGTCTGGCCCATCCTCACCACCAGTTCTAAACCACCATGCTTTTCTGCTTTAAGAGACACAAACCTGCATTTGACTGTTATCTCAGGTTTTCCAGTTAACAGTGTTCTACAAAGTACTCACAAAGTTGGCATGATTTTTTTTTCTCATTACTATTAACATTTCTTATGGATAGAACTTTTTGAGAAGGCTGCTCAAGTTTCAGTAAACTGAAAGGTAACCTTTTTAACTAAATCCTGAAGGGGATTTAGGCATAAGTCATGTGTATTAAATAGCAATGTGAATCAGGAAAATAAAAACTACTAATAATGGAAGACCATAAAGATCCTCTTTCTCTTCCATTAACAAAGAGTTACTCTGAAGTGAAGGGCATGTTGATGAAGGAGAAATGTGACAACTGTAATCTTATTCAGAGAAGTAGCAAAGGAGCCTTTTGTCTCTCATCCTGCAAAATCTGATACTTCACTGTTTCAAGGCAAAAGAATCGTTACTATTGAACAGGCTGGATTACCCTTGTATGGAAGACAATGCATCTCCTGATGTATACACAATGACAATCAAGGCACTGAAACATTAACTGCAGTAGCTATCCCAGAGTGCAAAAATTATTCCAAGTCCTCCAGCAGTGTTTCTCGCACCTGTTCGTTACAGCAAATTGATTTTCACCACTCTCCTTTCTGTTATTTGAGAAACATAATCTTCCCTTCCCAGACTTAACTGCCCAATGTGTTATGAGCAGTGGAACAGTTTGCGTTCACCACACGTGCTTTTACACTCAACTTGTCATCTCTCAGCAGGGAAAATTCAATCATTTCTATGTTTTACAAGTGGTGTCAAAAGCTAAGCAGAGAAGGAGCTTTTCAGCTAATTCAAAGACAGTCTAGCTGAAACAAATACTGGACTAATTTGTTGATTAAAAGTTTTAAGAAATCTGATCCAGCATTAAGACTTCTTTTGAAACCCTAACTCCTTAAACTTAAAAGGTTTCAGTTATGACATTTATCTGTGGAACTGATGAAATGACTACAGGGTTCATTATAGCGTGACACAAAGAGTTAACGAGTTTGTTAATTACTCAGCTATATCACCTAAATCCAAATTGCCTATGCAAAACTCAACGTAGTTTTACAAAATAATTTTACCACAATTTTGCCTATCAAGGTCTCAAAGTACTGCCAGACCTCTAAAGAAAAAAAAAAATCATTCATTACAACAGACATTAAAAACATTTGTGTCATATTTCAAGCACATTTTGTTTTGTACAAAGGATTCTGCTCTGCTTGCAAACCCCATTTTGGAAACCCTAAAAGTTTTCCAACTATCACACTCAAGTGCAGACACAGGTCACACAAAGACTGGTGGGAAAGAGACCGCAGAATTGCTTTCTTGCCCATTTCAAAATAAAAATAATGAAACAAACCCACAAGGAGATACTTAGCACATTCTAGAGACTTACCATATAGCATTCCATTAAAACAGGAGTGACCATTGCAACACCTCCTTCCCTCTTCCTGTGTTATTTGAAATTCTCTAGCTGAAAAAGGATCTCTTCTATCCCGTACAGCAGCTACCGGCTTTTTTAAAAGACAAATTGATAATCTGATTCAAATTATTGGCTTATTCATTTCCACTCGGTGGAAGCCTTCAAACAGCACCACAAAAATGCATGCACTGTAATTGGCTGTATGGCCACTTGTGCCCCAGAAATGCGATTATTTGGTTGCACAAATACAGTCTGTATGTCACAAATACAGCACAAATACAAATTTTTCTCTGTAAATTCATTTGAAGAGTAAAATGCAGGACAAAAACCACAAACTGTTGAACTACCTAAATATCACATTTCCTTGCAAGTTCCCATGCACCTGAATTTCTCCATGTTTCCCTTTGACCTAAGCCTATGCTGTGATCTCCTAAACCAGCTTGTCATCTGGGCACCTCATCCTGATGGTACAATCTCAGACAAGACCACCACCCAATTTTACAACTGTACTGTAGTACAGAGAATGATGCAGTATTTTACTTTGCAGCTTGCTTCAAAGTCTTTTCAACAACATTCGAGTTCTCGTACCATATACAACCTAAGAGTTATACAAATATGTTGTACAAATATGTTATCTGTCATGCCATTCAGGCACGCCACTGTCTCAGTATTCCCAAACTTCTTGCACTTCAGCCTTCAACAGGTTATCATGCAAGACTTTAAATCCATTATTCAACACAGCTTTTAGTCAGGGCCACACTTAAACATGTGCTTCTAGCTCATCAGTACCAGGGAAGCTTCCTATCCACAGACTCAGCTGGAATACTTCAGATGCTTCATCTCACGATGTACTCATCACTACCCATCTGCTGGATGACTGCACTACTTACATATCAATCTTTTGCACAAGTAGTGCTACTCCCCACAATCCAGATTTTTTCTCATGCACCCCTTCCTAAAACATAAGCAAGTACTTCTCATACTGATAACATCAGCCAACTCAGCTTAAACCACCTAAAATACAATTTTTGTTTTGCACAGTGTCTAAGTGAAAACAGTGAATGCCTGCAAGTCTGGATCTGCCTACAGAGCATCTCAGCTGCGTGGACAGCAAACCCCAGCAGGCAGACAGCAACGAGCTGCTGAACATGCTGCAACATCTCCAGTCTCCTCAAGAATTCCTTCACCACTTTTAACTTCTGCCATTATCACACCCATAAAAGCCCATGTTGTTCCACACTGCCAGAAACTAGAAACATATGCACTGTACATCCAAGGAATAACACCTGAACCTCCTAAGATGTGACTGTGTGCTGAGAAGTGCCATGCTTGTCCATTACTCATATTGGGGCTGGTTTCCTGGAAAGGAATCTGATTCTTTCACCAGATAACTCAAAACTTTACCTGATGCCACCCAAAACATGAGAAATATTCCAGGATCTTTCATGCTTCTCTGCTGTCTAATAAAACCTGTCAAACATGTTAGAAAACTCCTACACTCCTGCACCTTCTGAAAACTTTGTCAAGAAAATATGCTTACTTCTGTACAGTGTAAAGAAATTAATGTTTCACTTAAAGCATGTTTTAAGGATCATACATCTTAAAAATAAAACAAAAGAGAAACTAGAAGAAATCTAGTGCTGATCTATTACCACAATGTCTAATTTCAGAGTATATAATTTCCTTTAAGGAAAAGGCTGAGGAAGAGTGGAGGAAAACAACGCACACCAGGAAAAAAAAATATTCCCCCGTGAAACACAGCACCACAATGATTACTCCCTGCTTTCCTGGTAGAGGCATTTCTCTGGTATGAAATCAAAGTGCAGTGAGAGATATAAGAAAAAAGGGACAAGAACTGAGTGTCAAAAAGCTTCTGAGTAGCTACAATTACTGAATAGAAAGCGATATAAAGCAACCCCCTGAAGTATGACATGCACAGCTTTACAAGCCTTCAAGCTGGTCAACCACAACGGAGATACTAATTCAATGCTTCAAGTGCCCTAGAAGTCCCCAGTTCAACAAATCTCAACCTCATCATTAAGAATAATCCCCTATAGTTACACGGGGTGCCCACTTGCTTTCCTATCTGCTTCCACATTTCCCTATCTGGTTCCACATTTTCTGCTACTTCCTCATTCTGAAATTACACCTATCTATGCACTGTGACCACAGACAGCAATGTTTGTAGGAACCCACTTTTTCACCTATATACAAAAGCTGGAAAGAATATGCACACACTAATACAGTTAAGCAACTGTTGGAAATCACAAGAACTTTTATAACAGCCTGAAAAATCCCAGCTGACTTAAAATAAAAGCGTAAAAACTCTTATTGACGTCTTCTAGGTACACATACTGTTTGCTGCATGCCACCACTATTTTTTAGTGAATTTTTTGGCACACAGAAAACATGCAAAATTACACAATACACAACCATTTTAACAAAGGACCACGTTTCCTAAAATAAATCTTTCAAAGCACAGAATCACTTTGATACCACATATCAAGATACAGAAGTGAAAGCATGCATTATATTTACACTATAAGACAAGGTCTATAGATAGGACTAATCTTCATGAGCTGGTCTAATGAAATCTTTGAGCACACTAGTATCTCTCCAGGTCAGAAGGAAATTTCAAACTTATAGGGAAAGCTG